AAAGGACTGTGACTTCATTAGCTGAAAATGCTTTAGAAGAAGGATTGACCTCAAGTTCATTGACATCCCTTTCACTATAAAAACCAGGCTTTTAAGGTTGAGGCAATGACCCTTCAATTTTGAAGGATAGCAAAGATTATTCAGCAAACATCTCCAATTTTGAAGGATTCAAAAAGTGACAAATATTTTAATCTGATCTCTTAACAATTTGTGTCTAATAATGGCTAATATGCCATTAGAGAAACAGAGATAGAGGTGTGCATATCACTGTGCTGGTTGTAACATTTGGCTAATATGTACCTACAGGAACTATGAATATGTCTGTTTTCTAACTGTTCAGCATTCAGTCCCATATAGCATGGCTGGTCTGACAGATGTTCTATAAACTTAGCTTTCAATTCTAGCAAAATATGATGATCACACTATATATATGCTTAACAAAACCCTCCATTTTACCTATCATGCTTTGATTCTATGAGCCACATCATCTCCATTCTCCCCTTGTATATATGGATGATCGAGTACATGCTAGATAGTGATTTTGAAATGTAAATGCTCTCAATTTGTTTGTGATATATATCATCAGTTTTATTAGTTTCCTGCATCTTTTTTCCTATTCTTCATTTTAGTTATTTTATAATGCTTCTGCAATGATGCAGATCATGATGGCGAATGTCATAAGTTCGCTTTTTAAATATGGATGATCTTTCTCTCAATTAGGCTCATTGTGCCTCACTATGGAGCTATTCTGAATCACATTATACATGTGCTTCAGAGCAAACAGATCTAACAAGTGAAGAGGGAAACAGATTAGTTGTATCTTTCACAGGGAAAGTACTTGATATATTACATCACTGTCTTCCTTCAACTATAAGTTTATAACTGAACTAGATCATGCTCTAAGTGATGGCATAAGTAGGGGTGGAAGACAAGCATTGGAGTGGAGAGCATCAATTGCTAAACATTTCATTGAAGAGTGGGAATGGCAGTTGTGAATTTTGCAGTGTCTTCTTCCTTTATCTGAACGCCAGTGGCAGTGGAAGGAGGCATTCACTGTATTACGTCCCGCACCATCTAAGCTACTTAACCTGTGAGTTACAAGCCTTTTCTTCTCTGGGAATTTATATGATGATCAATTGGTTCTTGTGCATGAATTGCTGTTTGGATATTGGTTATAGATCACTGGTTTGCAAATGGTAGTTTATCCCATAAGAAAATGGTAGTTTATAACGATTATAAACTATAATGATTACCCAGGCCAAACAAAATATGATGACCTCATTATTCCAAATGATAGAAATAGATGATAGTACATAATCAGTTAATATGAAATTGCTGACATCTTACTTTCTGAAGGTAAATATTATAGGTGTTCTTATATGTCTCAGTTGCATGCAAAGATGGCTCCACTTTTCTAGTTTCTCTAGATGTAGTCTCTTGTGCTACTGTTGATAGCACATAATCAGTTAATATGAAATTGCTGACATCTTACTTTCTGAAGGTAAATATTATAGGTGTTCTTATATGTCTCAGTTGCATGCAAAGATGGCTCCACTTTTCTAGTTTCTCTAGATGTAGTCTCTTGTGCTACTGATGGTGAGGCTTCTACAATACATGATCTGGATTTTTCTTCGTTGTGCTCCCAGTTAGGTCTCCTGGCTGTAGTAAATGCTTAGAGTGTTAAGTCTATATCGAGCTCCTTGGACAGTGGATTGCGCAGGCACCCGATGGTGACGGTGGATCAAGAGACTACGTGAGATTGATAGTGATACAGAGTCAGAAGTTGATGACATTGTTGGTAGCAGCAGTGTTTCAACAGCATTACCAGACGCCAGTGGGCAAGATGGTGCAGCTACTGAACCTTGGGATGATTCTTCAAAATCTGACGTTGCGGAGCTTGACACTTCAGTTTTCCTTTCTTTTGATTGGAAAAAAAAAAAGAACCGTATGAGAAAGCTGCACAGCGGTATTGTAGTTCTGTCTGGTTTCAAAATTCATTCAAATGGACAATTACTTGATCACTTCTTCAGTTGACTCCTATTGTTATCTTCTTCTAGTGTTCTGTATGAATGTTTGCTATACATTCTGGCATATTTACTTTAAATTCTAAGGTGGGACTCACATTGCTAAGTCAATTTTTCGAATTGTATGACCAACTAAGATTCATACTCGGGGATCTTCCACTAGAAAGAAAGCGTCATTGTATGACTGGTTCTAGTGGTGAAAAAACAACCAAATTTTGATACCGTAGGCCAGAGATGGCTGCTTCCATGACATGGTGCATGCCAACTTCCCATCATTATCCAAGAAGGACTTGCACAAATTACGGCCACCCCTGGTAGCCGACGACAAGACACGGGCACCATCTCATAGGGGTCGAGATGCCAAAACACAATATGTGGCACTGCATCACCGTAGCCTTTCTCCTTAAGATTTTTTTTGTAATGCCTCGTAATCCAACTCCCAATAACTACCACCAGCCCTATCAAAGCTTTCCAAACGGGTGAGCACAAACACCTTCTTGCCCATATGATCCGGCCTCAAATTCCCATCCACAGCCACTTGGAGAATCATATCAAACACTTTGCGAAAATCAATTTCCATGCCGCAGACCATCCTCCCCGTATAGAGGCGCACTTGGACATAAGAGAATCATTGTCAATGTCATCCCCCAAATTATGCAGCTCAGGCTCTGCTCTGCTCAATGTCATGGGGATTGAAGGTAGGTTCAATAAATGACAAGGCAACAAAATTACCAACCACAGTCACAACTGTGCTACAATTTCGATGTTGCGAAGATATATACTCTTAACTTGTTAGGAAAGAATTGGACACCCAAAAATAACACCTAAATATATTACCAATTTTATTAAACTTAAAAGAAGACTTAAAGTATAACCAATTCTGCAGTTCCAAAATAAATAAAATAATAATTTGTAAGTCATATCCCTTGCCTGGACTGGAAATAGGTGATGAGTGCCTCATTGTTGGAACTGTGCGTGGCTCCTTTACTATTTTGGACTCCATCTTCTTATAAGAAGTTTCACCAATTAACTAAGACATCCGTTAATTGCTTCTCCCCAATATGCTCATTTCCAGAAGCTACGGAAGTCTTTGTTTCTCCTATAACTGAGATAAGATATCATAAGCATTGCACATATACCATCCATTTACCAGAGGAATAAAATGTTGCCTTCACACTTTTAATAACACATCCAAAATATTTTGAACAAAAAAAAGCTGAGTAGATACAACAAGTCTGTCTCAACACTTT